GCAATTTTGAATCCAACCTTTAAACTTCAAGTCTGAAAGCCTAAGCAGTAAACCCTACAATGCCTTCACCGTATAAATAATATCGCCAAACCTTACTTCGAACGATTAATTAAACCCTAGATTAGATTAAATCCCACCGATGCCTAGACACTAGAGCCTGAACGACACATGTTGAGGATTCGTGGTTTAAGGCCAACTTGCCTTAAAGCATAGGATGTGTATTCCTTCGTAGTGCTCTTAGGTAGCACCCGTACTACTACTATTACAAGCAATAGTCTACACACTATAAAGCTACTACCACCGCCGGTAGAACTAGCAACAGGACTCTTAGTATTAGCCGTAGTATTCGTAGCAATCAGAGGAAACTGCAGGAGAAGTTGCCCTAAGATCAGGTATCATCCGAACGAGTAAGGACTACTAGTAATCCTACTAGTGGTGCTAGTGCTAGTGCTGGTGCTAGTGCTACTGCTCGTGCTGAGTGCTAGTAGTAGTCGTAGTAGTCGTCGTCGTCGTAGTAGTAGTAGTAGTAGTAGTGCTAGTAGGTAGTAGTAGTAGTAGTAGTAGTAGTAGTAGTAGTAGTAGTAGTAGTAGTAGAAATAGTAGTAGTAGTAGTAGCAGCAGCAGGAGTAGTAGTAGTAGTAGTAGTAGTAGTAGTAGTAGTAGTAGTAGTAGTAGTAGTACTAGTACTAGTAGTAGTAGTAGTAGTAGTAGTTCGTGGTAGTAGTAGTCGCGGTACGACTAGTAATACTAGTACTGGTGGTACGAAGACGGTGTAGTACCTAGCTTTGTACTACTGCTGAAACCGCAACCCTAAAGCCGAAACCCCAAACCCCAAATCCTACAGTTACAGCTCGAAGTCGAACCCCTACAGCCGAAACCCGAAAAGCCGAAATTCTCCAGCCGAAACCTGCCAAATGCCGAAATTCTAAAGCCGAAACCCTAAAGACGAAACCCTGAAACCCAAATCCTACAGCCGAAACCTCAAAGCAGAAACCCTCGAACCGAATCCTAGAAGCCGGAGTCCCAAAGCCGAAACCCCTGTGCTGAAACCCTAAAGCCAAAACATTGCTTGACCTTAAATACTAAAACTCCGACCTCTGAAAAGCTGTAGTAGTAGTACCACCATTAACAATAGCTAGTAGTAGTACGAGTAGTAGTAGTAGTAGTAGTACTAGTAGTAGTAGTAGTAGTAGTAGTAGTAGTAGTAGTAGTAGTAGTAGTAGTCCTAGTAGTAGTAAGAGTAGTAGTAGTAGTAGTAGTAGTAGTAGTAGTAGTGCTAGCAGGAGCAGTAGTAGTAGTAGTAGTTGTAGTAGTAGTAGTAGTAGGTAGTAGTAGTAGTAGTAGTAGTAGTAGTAGTAGTAGTAGTAGTAGTAGTAGTAGTAGTAGTAGTAGTAGTAGTAGTAGTAGTAGTAGTAGTAGTAGTAGTAGTGGTAGTGGTAGTGGTAGTGGTAGTGGTAGTGGTAGTGGTAGTGGTAGTGGTGGTGTAAGTAGTACTAGTGATTTTAGTAGTAGTAGTAGAAGTAGTAGTAGTAGTAGTAGTCGTCGTAGTAGTAGTAGTAGTAGTAGTGGTGGTAGTAGTAGTAGTAATAGTCCTAGTGGTAGCGGTAGTACAAGTACTACTACTACTACTACTACTACTACTACTACTACTACTACTACTACTACTGCTACTACTACTACTACCATTGTAGCACTACAACAACTTCCAACGATTAACGACTACAACAACTACCACTACTACGACTAGTAGTACGACTAGTCATTGTCGTAGTAGAAGTAGTAGCAGCAGAAGATTAAACAAGACAGTTATCAGCTGTAGCAAGCAGTCCGATTGGTGACAGCGGCAGGTTACCTTGATTGTTATATGCAGCCAAAAAACTTCTCCATTGGAAGCTCCCGGCGCCGGCAGTGATAGATCGTGTCAGGAAGCTTGTCTTTTGGGCCAGGTGCAGGGCATGATGCGATGTCTATTTCAGGGAAGCTGTAGACGTCGCTGAGAAGCTTCTTGCGAATGGGGACGGCCCATGCCTGCCAATCGGAGGATGACTATGTTGGGAATTTGCAGGGCTAAATTCACAGATTTTTCAAGTCGGCTGGTTGGGCCCGACGGTTCCAAGCCAGCCTGGTCTCCACTGAGTAGCTTCGACGCCATCTCACCTTCGGCTGAGGTCGTTCTTTGGAAAGTGTCCTCGTTGACGGCCGTGGTGCCGAAATTGCGGGCCAACTGCCGCAGGAATCTTTCCAGGCCGGTGCTAATCGACTTGAAATTGTCTTTAGCCAACTCTTGAAAAATCTCCCGGACAAGAGTTTCTTGAAGGCAGGATCGCAGAACCATGCGCTTGTATGCAGGCAGAGGCTTGTTGCTATGGCTCTTCCATGCCTCGTCGACTTGCTTGCACCATTGCAGAGTCTTCTTCCGCTCCTGTTCCGTTCCCGAGCAGCATGTGCATAAGAGGAGGTATTATGCCTAATCCGAAATTGAATTTTAGGTCTTACACTTCTTCTATGTAATCATCAGTAAATCTCCGAAGTAAGTGGGTTGCCTCAGTTGATTTACCGACCAGACAGACTAGATTGCTTGCTGGAGTTTTACACGGCGAATCTCGGCTGGAAGAAATAATCTTGTTCGTTTGCCCTGACCATCTTTCTAGAATCCAATCGGATCCCCAAGCTTGCGAAGTCGAAACCGCCATCAATGAAACCCTGAAGCTCGATCTGTTACTGACACCAAGTAAGCAAACTATACTTTTCCACAGTAATACTTAATGTCATGATTACTGTAGTCGGTTTGTTGCTCTTTTCCAATAATCCTAACATTTGTTTTCTCGTTGTCATGATTTGAAATATCCCCTGGCTGGTCCTGTTGGTCGGGGTCGACTAAACCCAAGAACGCCGACGGGAACGACCACATCCGCAAGGACGAAGATTGCAGCCAGTGGAAGGCCATGCGAGTCGTGACTTTCCACACATCATTCGCGAGCAAATCTTGGTCCAAGACCAGGGCAGAGTCCGTGGCAAGGTCGGCGTAGGCTTTGTTGCCTGCGAAGCCTTCCTTGAGTCAGGTTTGCCGGATCAAAGCAAAGTCTAGATTCGCATGCGATTGCTATACAGTGGGTGTTCGGGTGTTCGGAGTTACAATACTAATGTGTGGCTTTGACAGGTCCAGCCAAAAAAGAAACTCAATCATCACCCGGCTTCGACTAGCAAGCCTCCTGTAGCGAGCTTTGTTGGGGAACTCAGGGGATCCAGAAGTCCGCTGATGTACGGCAGCAATCCACGGCCGCAGGCTAAGCCAATGTTGTACTCCTCCGCCGAAGCACGGTCCCGCAGATTTTGTCGAACTTCCCCGTACCAGTCTCTGGCAGAGGTACAGGCCAGTGCGATGAAAATCGCAGTCTTCATAAGCGACTCATCTGCCAAGATTGCCTGAGCTTGGTAGCATCTAACCAGGTAGCTCCAAATGTCTTGATCGAAGTCAAAAAAATTGTACTACAATAAGATTATAGAACAATATTGCTGCATACATTTTTAGTAGTACTGCCAGTACCAGTACTACTCATACAAATACTAGTACTACTAGGACGACGACTAAGACTACTTCTTGATGACTTGGGCTCCTATTGCTACTACTACTACTACTACTACTACTACCACTACTACTACTACTACTACTACTACTACCCACTTTCAGTACGACTTGTACTACTAGTACTAAGTACTACTAGTACTACTACGACTAGTACTACTACCTACTACCAGTACTACTAGGACAACCACTAGTACTACTGCTTAATCCTAACACCACTACGAGTACTACTACTTCAGACTACTCATTGCTACTGCTGCCTGCTATGAGTACTACGAGCAGTTCTAATGACACACCACCTACTACTAGTACTACTACTACCACTGCTGCTGCTGCTCCTACTGCTACTGTTGCTACTACTACTACGACTACCTATTGCTACTACTACTACTACTACTACTACTACTACTACTACCACTAGTACTTCTACTACTTCTACTACTACTACTACTACACGACTAGACCTAGTAGTAGTAGTAGTAGTAGTAGTACTACTACTACTAGTACTACTGCTACTACTACTACTACATGATTGGAATAGCAAGGGAATGACCGGCAAGGCATTGAGATTCGCAGGGGCACTTTACTTTACCGACCCACAGATCTTTTTCTAAAGCGAAAAGGCGCGACTTGGGCGGGCGGTGTTTATGTCACATACTAACTCATAGCTGTAACTGGGGAGGCGAATGACTGAGGAGTGGTGCTTGCTTGCTTTCTTTTTTAATGAGCCGTAATGAGCCCTTTGGAGCTTGGATTGGAGTTCTGAGCCGGCAGGTGCCTGGAGTTGATTATTAGCTCTAGCTCATGCAAGTTGGAGCACTACCGCTGGCAGCAATTTCGCTGGATCCACGCAATAAGTTGAACTTAATCGGCCACCATGCCCTGAGATGTGGGTATATGAGTCCAGATGTAGGTTCCTGAATCGAAAACAACATACTATACAAATCGCAGTTGCTTGTAAATCCTCAGGAATTCCCAAATCCTGACCGAAGTCCTGTATCACACTAGCGCATACACCATACATACCAACATCGATCTCCTGCGTATGACAGACAGATCTTACACTAAGTGGCCGGGCACTACTGTCAACGAATCAGCAAACTGCCCGCCAAACATCCACATGCCAATGCTAAGGAACCACTTTTAATTTGAAGCCGTCTGGGAAACAAGGAATAAATTTATGGTGCCAGGTGCTGTCACTGCGTGCATTGTGTTTTTGCACTTCGACTGCAGAGACGACCTCTTCAATCGCTCAGACCGCAATTGGCCGCCTTCAGCAGCCGGGCCTTCTGCGACTGTGAGCGATGTCAGGTGCAGTTCCCCTTCGCTCAGGTATCCTTGGCGGACTTCTGACTGGAATTCCTCCGAAACTTTGGCTTCCTACTTATACTTACTTACAGCACTGCCCGCATCCTTATTCTTTCTCGTTGCAAATGAAAAAAACGACATTGTAACTGATTGTAACGGCCAAGTATCCCATGGAGATGCCATGGAATAACATGACCAGGTACTGCAAGTGTAGATCCGCAGGGTTGTCTAGCCTCTTCATAATTGAATCTTGCCACGTAAACCAGCGACTCGGCTGAACCGACTCACCCCTGCGATGCAAAAAATTTGAGTTGCCAGCTGCCAGATCGCTCATGAAATCATCGAGCGTGACTCCATGGTCGGCGCTGAACCGACTCATGCGACTGAGAGTTGCACAAATCAGCGGATCTCGCTTGTCCGCCGTTGCAACAAACTCTGTCCAAGCCTCTGTCACCTCTGCCCACCACTTCCTTGCATCACTGCCCTCCCCTCCCTACTTATGAAATAATAAACTCACTTCGTTGTAATACTGATACTGTAAAGACTCTCTCTCCAACCAAGTGTGTTGAAGAAACAGGATAACTATCTATCTTAGAATTATTCGTTTTTCTCGAAGTGGGTGTCTGATTGCCGGAGCACATTCCTGGAGTCTTAGCCTACTTGGGGTTGAGTATTCAATATTCTGAGACAATCCAAGACTCTGGGACGACCACGGCCCTTCGTGAAGGTTGAGCCAGACTGTGCTGAGGCTGACGACTGAGTAGAGGTTCGACTCCTTCACGCCGTTGAGCAAAGATTTCCACATGCTGTGGAGAGGATCTTCTAGGGACCTCGCCGCCATAGGTTTTGGAAATAGGGTTTTCAAGGACGCCTCCTGGTGTTTCTTTGGGGTTAGGGTTTAAGGGCTTAAGGTCTAGGGTTTCGGGTTTTCAAGGATGCATCCTGGTGCTTAAAGGTCTTGAGAAAAGGTTAGTAGACGAGCCGCCACTTTCGAAGCCCAAGATGATGAAGCTCGAAAGAGTCAGTCGACACAGGAATGGGCCCTTGATCACTGCTCTCGACTAGCACGTGTCTTTCCCAGAGCGGCACCGACTTGTCCTGAGATCATGTGCTCTACGTGCCACTCTAGCAGCTCTCTGTCTTAGAGTATAATATAATCATATTATGGGCTGCACAAGAGCCTTTTCTACTGCTGCCTCAGCATGGTAAGCAAAACATTATTCTATTGATCTCACAGGCTCTTCATCCTTCGGCACAAAAGCCTCGAGACCATGGCCGGTGATGCAAGCCAAAGCATTGCTCTTGGCTAGCAACAGGTCGAAGGAAGGCAGTCGGGCCGGAGGCCGCAGCCGCTTGCGCACAACCGCCGAATCTTCCAGTTCCTGCTGTCGGCCAGCCTCTCGCTTCAAGAAGCGACGAGCTCGCTCCTTCCAAAGGTCCTTGTCGACTTGTTCGACTGGCTCCCCAGGTTGCGCCATCCGGATCTTCATGTCCCTGATCTCCTGCCCGACAGACAAGCCAGACCCTGGACGTCTTAGACTGATCGCATTATCCCGGACGCTTGTAACTGCAAGCTTCTTGCTTTTGCTTGGGGCTTTCGTCTATGTCCCTGTCTCCATGCCCCCGCCGCAAATCCCAATAATATTGTTCATCTTTGTAACGTACCCTTGAACTCGAAGCATGCCCCACCCGTACGAGACCAAACTATAACTTTTACAATATCCAACCCCCTGAAACCTAGCCAGTCTGTTGGATTCTGGGCGGGCCACACAATGTCACAAAGAAAAACACAGTGGGGGTCACACGCTTTCCTTTTAAGTTCGGCCCCTGGTCTATCCATAAGGTTGCTTTGATGCCCGCGGTTTCTGGGGGTTCTGTGACTGGGTTTTGTGCCTGTTCTCAGTCCATAGGAGAGCTTGTCTAGTTCTGTTCCTTCTCCTTGAACATGGACATCCCCAATTCCACGCTTGTTTCTCACAAATGGTCCACACAAGCTAGTACCAATGTCAAGCGATTGAGGGAGTCACTGATGGACTTGAAACAAACAAAGGATTTATTAATAATGATTAAACAAATTCAAACCGAACCCCATCATGCCTGCCTGTGGTGGGGCCCAGCAGGTCACACCTTGCTCGCTCATCGCGCACAGCATAAGCCGCTCCTTGCCGCCAACACGAGACTCGTCATCAGCGATGGCCAAAATACGGGTGTCGGCCATCGCCCTCCGGCAGCCCAAGAAATACCTCAGCAGGTCCTTCTTGTCCTCCATCACTCGTGGGTTCGACTTGGGCTCACCCTTCTTTTTTTTTTCTTCTTCTTCTTCTCCACCGACTTTCTGTCTTTGAAGGCTTCGCGGGCACGATGTGCCAGAACCGCAGCATCATTGAGCGATCGGCGCGGCTTGATGTTTGCGGCCGACTCGCTCATGACAGTGGACGACTTCTGAAAAACCAGGTACCTTTCAGCTTCCACTGTGGCTGCAATCCCGAAGGCCAGTTGATCGGTGATCCATGCGCAATTTGAGCGCCGAAAAGTTCCAATGAGAAGGGAAACGATGTCATCTCGACTGCGGAGCGCGACGCTCTTCTTGACAGCTTTTGGCAGCATCTTCCAGCAATGGCTGCTTTCCACAATTTCGTATCGCAGCTTCTTGCTGACGCTGAAGAGAGGCTCGCCGAAAGTCGTCCTCGACATGTGCGGCGAAAACTGTTCGTCGAACCGCAGTCTGAGCCACTGGCTGTGAACGATGGGCTCTTCTCTTTTTGAGTCCAGGCCGACATGAAAACAAGCCAGCAATCGGCGGGTGAACTGCCGAACAGCATCCTCCGACACGTCCATCGGAGGCTTGTTGCACATGTGCAACAAGAGCTGCAGCATGGCGACAGTGGACAACATTGTGATGTTGACTTGTAACAGGTCCTCCTCATCATCAGTTTGACGCCTGCCGCCATCGACGCTGTCGTCCGCCACGGGGCCGACTGCATCCTCTACTGCTGCATCATCATCTTGCCCGGGGACGACTGCGGCATCAGCTGGGCCGACTGCTGATGAAGAAGTGGCCCGCTGGCGATCTGTCGCCAGGATATGATCGTCCACTCGGCAGCCTCGGCCTAGGTGCTTTTCCAACACCGAACGCCAAGACTTTCGGAACCAAGTCGAAATGCTGGTTTGTGAAATCTTCGACGCAGATTCAGCCGACAGGAAGCTCTTAAGCAAAGACTGTAGCGACCAGTACACGCTGCAGCCTGATTTGCGGTACGTCTGGTCGAATTCTAAACAAACTACGGCTGCTCCACTCTGGCCTGGCAAATCCAGCTTTCTCCAGGTTCTGCCGATGCTTTCGTCCAGCCATTGAACCACCACGCCGGCCTCTCCAGCAAGCTTGTGAGCGAGGAATGTCTCTCCGCTGGATCGGCATTGGAAACCATGCCACTTCAAGAGTCCTCGGAAACTTTGATTCAGAAACACTACGAACAGTTTCTGGCAAGCTGGAATGGAATTTAACACGCCTTACCTGACAAAAGACAAGAAGACCCGACTCAACGTGCAAAACCAAGCATCGACTCGCCCAGACCGACTTGCCGCCCATGAGCAGAAAGCCGTATCTTTGGTCCGGAGTGAAGTGAAGCCGGCCATCGTCCGTCTTCTTCTCCAGTACGACTCGCTCGCCACTGATGTGATTGATCAGGATGGCCACGTCGGACTCATCATCCTCGACTAACTGGAGTCGACTATGATGACTCAACTCCACACATTCACCGGGCCGCCCCAGCGGGTCCGGTGGACGTGGCCTTGCCATGCTTGGGCCCACCAGGACGACTACGACTACACCTAGAGGACTTGGAGGATTCGACTGGACTTACTTGTACATACTGTTCTTGACATGCATAGCCACCTGTCTAACCTGGACTTGCAGCTAAAAAACTACTGAACGAAATATGGTTTCTGCAGCAGGCCGACTAGTAATAACGACTCAACCCTGAGCCATGCAAACACAAGCACACGAAAATCACTGCTTCTGCTGGGATGTGTTCCCGACTTGGATTTCAAATTTCTAACCTGACTGGACGACTCCTCCTAAGTACTTTGAGATGACCGCATGAGGAAGGAGGTTGCTGACTGAGAACTTTGCTTACATGAAGCCTTGACTCCGGGCCAGAGTCCATCAACACTGCACTGGAAATCACGACTTCTCTTACGTCTTTGCTCTTGCACCATGGTCACAGAGTCAATCTGCTTTTGATGAAATCCGGCATCCAGGTCAAGGGTGTCACTGATATCTTCGTAGAGGCTTAATGAATCAATCGTTCAAGCAAACCAAGCACAAACAAAGGATTTCCTTCCTGGCCTGCTCGTGTCCACTCCCCAACGAGGCCATTCACCTGGTGCAAGAAGACACTGACACATCCAACGCCAAGGGTGTCAGTCCCCAAACCTTCCCCGACCCTCAGGCTTGCACGGACTTAATCAACGATGATCCCTGCATTCCCTGGCGACTGCTTTCAGCCGTCGCTCGTCCTTACGGACGACGTCCAGTCGGACGACTGCATACACACTTCGACTCATGCCGGGGCTGCATCCTTGCGGACGACGTCCTGTCGGACGACGTCCTGTCGGACGAACACTCAAACGACGTTGACTGAACCCGCCTGCGGCCGACCGAAGATCCTCACCTGGCAGGCAGACATGGGGCCCAGGTCTAGCAATTTTTTGAAAAGGTCGTCTTATGCTCACAATGCTTTGTCTCCCTGACGGTCAACTAACTCAGCCCGAGACGCAAGATGTCCATGTGCTTACTTCTTATTTGTCCATTCTTAGTCCTTCTGACCTCGACTATACAGACAACCACTCAATTGCAGTGACTGACGAGTCAACCCGAAGCTGGCACACATGTCCGCCCACTCTGTTTTTTCACGACTCGAGGATTTGAATGTTAACGACTCGACCACATGGTCTCGACTGCTGGCTGCCGCTGAGCTTCTGCCATTCTGGATGGACCAAGCCAAGAGCTAAATGAAAAGCGCCAGCCGGATCGTCGAGTGCACGTACCAAAACTACAACAGAAACAGTTCCGCCCACTCTGTTTTTTTCACGGCTCGAGGTTTTGAATGTTAACGACCACATGGTCTCGACTGCTGGCTGCCGCTGGGCTTCTGCCATTCTGGATGGACCAAGCCAAGAGCTAAATGAAAAGCGCCAGCCGGATCGTCGAGTGCACATACCAAAACTACAACAGAAAGAGTTCCGTCACTCTGTTTTTTTCACGGCTCGAGGTTTTGAATGTTAACGACCACATGGTCTCGACTGCTGGCTGCCGCTGGGCTTCTGCCATTCTGGATGGACTGACCAAGCCAAAAGCAGCTAAATTAAAAGCGCCCAGCCGGATCGTCGACTGCACCTACCAAAACTCAGCCGACTGCACCTACCAAAACTACAACAGAAAGAGTTCTGCTGCTCAGCCTCGCTGGCTTCGATCTCACGCTCGTGGCATTTCTTTGCGAACCTTGGGCATGTCGACTTGGTCGCCTTCGTCCTCCTGGAAGAGACTCAGCACGTTGACCCAGATGCGGCCTCCGAACATTTCGGTGAAGCACAGATATATTGTAAGAAGTGGATCGCCACACGACCACCCACACACACTGAAAGCTCTCATTAGTGACTTGTAGATTACAACTCATCTCCACGAAGTATAGATATATATGTATATATACACATAAACATATAATATAATATACTATAATATTATAGATATATATATATACTTGAAGTTTAAGTAGAACGCCCTAACCGCTTTGGTATCTCACATAAGATATCTCTAGACACCCTCATCATGTCTGCTGCAGCCAATGCAGGAAGCCGTGCCAACCACGTGGAACCATTTTCGCGGGGGGAGTCATCTTAAGTCTCCACAGATATATTCACTATGGTTGTACGAATGAATACTTCTACACTACAATGGTGACGCCTCGTGTTATCATTTTCTACCACGTGCACGGCATTCATCAGGAATCCTCTTGCTCTAAGGCTCTCCCAAAACACGACAAGTGGCCTTCCCCGACTTGGCAGTTTTCCAAGTCCCCAGGATTCTTCAAGCCCAGGTTGAAGACCTGCATCTCTGCAGGAACCTTCTTCTTCTTCCCGGAGATGTGGGTGATCCTCAGTCACAGCCACGTGCTTTGGAATAACACCAACAAAGTGACGTGTGCCACATGGGAAAAATGGCCAAGGCACCAATACGACTCGTCGACTTCGGAGAGCGCCCACCAGCCGTACGACTGCCAAAACTCCATCGGGAGGGTCGACTGGCTCGCAGAGGGAACGCCCTTCTCGACGATGATCGACTGCCACGGCGGGCCGATCATCACCTCTGCAAGGATGCTGGCCTTGCCTCGTCCAGGGAGTGCACTTTCCGGAGCTATGCCACTCAGGAGTTTGAACAGGCAGTTCAGCTCCTTCTTGCTGCAGCGCACACCAGACAACCACTGGGCCCACTCTGGACCGTACAGCGAGCCCAAAAGGTCTTTGACATATCCCGACTCGAGCTTGCTGTATTTGTTTGTCGACCTGAGTAAATGGATGGAAATGCGCGCTCAGTCTCATGATATCGAAAAAAAAGCCTTGCTTGCTGCTTGCTAGTCAACCGTCTGACACTTATGCAAGTTTTGTGGATCTCAACCATGACACCCGAACTTGCCTTCCCTTCAACAGTCTTCTATTAGACTCACACTCTTTCTTGCCCAGTGGCTGACTGACCATGTCTGGGTCGTCCTCTGTCGCCGGATTCTCAAGCATCTGGACGACTTCCAGCGCCTTCGGGATGTACTCCGGATGGGCCTCGATGCGCTCCTGGATCTTCGAGAGGGTATTCTGCTCGCTGAAGTCGGTGATCTGGTCCCTCATCTTGTCGACATCGGTCTTGGGCGCTTTCCTACCCTTGGGCGGCATTGGGACGACTAGGATGCCCGAGAGATGAGGCGAGCGACTTTTGGGACTAGGATGCCCCAGAGATCAGGCGAGCGACTTCGCCCAACCAAGCTTGAGCGACTGATGCCAACGCGGCCGACAGTTTCTGTAACATGTTGAATCTGTTGCTGGATTGATTCCTCGGGGTTCTGAGTTGTTGTTCCTCTGTGGCTTGTGGGCTTCTTCTACTGAGGGGCTAGTCCCATGATGCCGGAAGGACAACAGCTTTGCCGACCTACCCAAGTGAGTCCGACACTGCCTGATTGAAATCGCAACTGCATACGGCACTGCATCTCAACTCTCAGGTCTGTGCATGCAGACAGAACAAACATGCTGGCTGCGCCTCTGGAATCAAAGAACCATGCCACCTGAGGGAGTGTAGCTGCTTTGGAAACAATGCTTGGGCAGGGAACCGTGGAACATGGAGGTGTTTCACCAACACATGACGATGCAAGAAGGATTGACATGGTAACTTGTTTGTTCAACACTTTTCAATTAAACGATACTCAAATCATGCTGTTGGGACACTGGTTCTGCGTGCCTGTGCCTGGTTCTGCGGGGGAGCCTGGTTCTGCGAACGGACTCGGGTGCCGGGCAGCCATTCAGAACTAGTTCTGCGTGGCTTGGCATGGATAAGGGAGTGCCAGGCCCTGGTGTGCGGTAAAGCAAAACATAAGGCCCCACTGGGGTTTGGCGGCAGCGGCTGCCTATGATTGGTTCTGCGGACTAGTTCTGCGAACCAGTTCTGCGGGGAAGTTCTGCGAACGTGTGCATGGAGGAACCTCCCTATGATAGGTTCTGCGGACTAGTTCTGCGAAGCAGTGCCAGGCAGCTCCACTTACAATCACCTTGACACAACACCGTAGCAAGCAAGACTACACGAAAACATCTCAGTGCATCACCCTTTTCTTTCATCCATAACATTGCGACTTCTCAAACCCTCCGAAGGCCAACTCGAATCCAAGGCCGACACCTGCTAAGTCTTGCACAGCCACACTTCTCTCGCAAAGCTGAGTGGCCGGCCGACTCTCACCGTGCTGGACACCGAGAAGTCCTGACCTCAGGGCACTGATTTTTGATTGCTATTCATACTACTACATGCACACGATACTAATCTCGCTCGGTCTGGCTGCACAGGCTGCACTGCACATGCATATGCACTGCAAAACCCTTCAGCAAAGGCTTTTTTGCTGCTGGCTTGCACCGGTTAGTCGAGAAGCTTGAAGCCCACATGACAAGTGTGCAAAAAGCATACGTATGGCAGACGGAAAAACTCCTCTTCAAGGTTCCATAAGGACTCTTCCTTGTTATTATTATTATTGTTCCGACTCCGGACAAGCACACTCGACATGTCTAATGGCCGCGACTGCGACTGGAAAGCATTATCATCGTTCTTCATGCCTTCCCGGCGCTTGCAGCGTCAGGTTCCTCGCGGCATGCCCAGTCCCCATGTACAAAAAGTACAATCCCCAACCATGTTTCATGGTATAGTATTTGCCCCGTGCGGTTGTCAGAGAACCACTGTACTCCTGCGACTCAGCCGCCTTAAGACCCAAAAGCTCCTCCCCACCCCTCAGGCACAGGAGGCGCCGGAGCCGAGCTGTCGACTGCAGCACTCGCGACTGAGGAGCCGGGGCTTATCGCTGGCACGGAAGATGCCGCGGATGTCGGTGTCATGGAGCCGAAGCGACTGCTCGGGGTGCTGCTGCCACTGACGCTCCCGTTCTCGCTCCTGGGAATCTCCTTGCGCCAAAACAAGCCAAAGGAACTGTCGAAGAGCTCGGAGCAGGCCATCCACAGTCGTCCTCCGCAGGCTGATCGGCTTCAATGGTTACTACTCTAGTTTCACGTCTGATAGTGAAGAACAAGGGCTCTGCTCTGCTCTGCAGGCTTGTCAGTCTAGGTCTATATGCTGATTCTTCTCTGCCTCGCTCTGTGCCTGTCTTATATTATTATAATTAATAAGAATATATATGTATATATATATATATACTTCTATTATATATGTGTAGATATATACATATATATATATATCTGAGTCTGTGTGTCTGTCATACGACTTTCGGAATTTCCGTGTCACATTGCTCCCCTCTCTTTCTCCGTCTCACTGACACTCTCTGTCTCTCTCTCTCTCTCTCTCTCTCTCCCTCCTCTTCCCTGTGTCTCTTTCTCAGTCTGGTCCGGTGTGAATTTATGAGCGACTCTGGCTCTGTTCTAGTTGCGGTCTGTTTTCTCTCTTGGGTTTGCTCTTGGGTTTGAACGCCATCTTCCTTAAATTAGGTCTGTCTCTACTGGCTTATCATCCATCTTCCATGTCCCGTCAATGAAGGAATCAAGTCCCCGGTCCCCGGTTCCCCCTGAGCTCAGTTCCTGATCCAAGCTGAGCCTTCGAGAAATCCGTGGGATTTTTGATGACCAGCGAGTTCGACTGTGCCATGGGCTCCAGCTCCGTTGGCAACTGCCTCCCTTGGCCGCTGATGTGCACCACCCTTGGATTTGCTCAAGTCTTGTACACTCAGTTGTGCGTCACTACTGAAAGTAAGTAATGACGAACAGGCTTGCTTGCACGTCAACTGAAGACTCACATGTCTTAACTTATTCTTGGATGCTGCTACTAACCAACAAAAAATCATGGCCGAGCCACATCCACGACTGGCCCTCCTGCTCCAACCGGAACCACGGGTTGAGCTCGAAGAAACGACTGGACGAAAAGGGCTCCGGGAATTCCAGTCGCGGCACCCAAGACGGCCGCTTGTCAACCATCTCCTGGACCACTGCTGTCCTGCTGCGACTTGGCAGCGCCGAGCCCCCGGAGATGCCGGAGACCATGTGGAAGACGTCCAAGAGCTCGGCTTTCGTCGACTTCCAGCGGCGGAGACTTTGAGCCTGTCCTTCCGTCAAACTTGATGAGCTAAGCATCAGTTCCTTCAGCACCTTGCCATCCACCAGCTTATACTTGTTGCAAGACCTGATATTGGATCATTGTTCAATTCACAGTGTGATGATGTCTTACAACTTCATTCTACCCTGACGCAGTCTCTAATACGACAAAATTATGCCGATCAGGATTAGATTAGATCACTCCGTGTTTTAACAGCTACTGCTTAAGATAGTTTCAACTCTCGATGGTGTATTCGTCGACTGTGCACCGCTTAGCCATGGACCTACTGCCGATGTCCGGCTCCTTCATCATCCGTTATTTTATTTGCCCACGACATGAGCGAATCAAATTAAAACTTTAAATACAAGCACCATCCATGGTAGTGAAATAACTACTGTTGTCAAACAAAAACTCACCACATCTGAGAAAATACTTGACATTGCACGGGTCACGCTTGAGACCCTTCTAATATACTACTACTATTTCTGGGGAAACACTACTCGGCGAGATCAACACTACTCAATGCATGCTGCGGGACGTCGGGCCGATCAAGTCTTCGCGACCATTGTTCGAAACCGGCTGCATCAACATGCCGTTGTCCATGATCTCCAACAGGCGGGAAGCCAGTGCTGGCTTGCCTTCAAGCAAACCCATGAGCTTCGACTTCATGCTGTCCTCGGTCATTTTCGTCAGCTGCGACTGCATCTTCTCCTTGTCGAGAGGAGCCTTCTTCACGCTGTGCCTGCGAGCCGAAGCCATTGTGGAGTGGAAGTCGGTAGGAATACTGGAACAAAATGCCCCAGAGCTGAGTCCTACTTTTTTGAGCACTCGCGACTCGGGGTGTAACAAAGTGCTCGGGACTGTGGAACACAAATCGCCAGTAACACTAATATTATGCATCATGCAGGAGTCCTGGCGCCGAAAGACTGGCAGAGTGAGGCTTCTGTCTTTTTTGCAACAAGCCGTCATAATAGCATTCCCCGTGATGCCTCTGTGCATCCAAAATCAAAAGGGTCGACTGTGTGCATCGGGCGGGGAGGCGACTGCCTGCAGCCCCACAGACGACGACTTAAGGAGCTCACCTACTCACAGTCAGTGACGACTGCACCTAAGTCATTGCCAGCACAATCTCTTGGTTGATGGCAGCCATGTTCTTGATGCTGGTGCAGTGCTCCTTACAGACCTGCGACAAGAAGGTGACAGCCTTCTCCAGGCGCAAGACCCTCTCCTCCAGGTATCGGATTCTCTCTGCCTCGGTGGGCGGATCGTCTGTGACCGTGGACGCATCGTCCCTCTCGTCGTTTGCTGAAGAAGCCGAAGGCATCGGATCCACGGCGGCGTTCCCCTCGACGTCGACTGGCTCATCACCCTCCGCCCTGCCACTCCGGCGACGCTTTGCATTTGAGGGCGGCTCCGCTGCATCCGACTGTCGCCTCGCGGACGAGCGGACGGTCTGCAGCTCTGCCATCAGGTCGACTTGTAAGGCGGCGAACGACTACTGGAGCAAAATTGCCCACAGACGATTTTTGAGCACTCGCGACTGTAGGCATCATGCGGAAATGTACTCTCTGCTGTCTTCCATGAGCACTCAGTGATTTCCCACAGCATCTCGACAAGCCCTGTGTGATGTACCCAAACATTAGTCAAACAGCTGAAGGATAAACTGCAGTACTATTACTTATTACTACTTACGTACTTACTTACTAACTTAATTACTTACTTATAATACTACTAGTACTACTACTACTACTACTAGTACTAGTACTAGTACTACTACTACTACTACTACTACTACTACTACTACTACTACTACTACTACTAGTACTAGTACTACTACTACTACTGCTACTACTACTACTACTGCTACTACTACTAGTACTACTAGGACTACTACGACTACTACTACTACTACTACTACTACTGCTACTAGTACTACTCCTACTACTACTACTACTTCCACTAATACTACTACCCGTACTGGTACTACTACTACTACTACTACTACTACTACTACTACTATACCTACCAATACTACTACTAGTACTTATATTACCACCACACTACTAATATGACTACTACACTACTACTAGTACTACTACTA